CTATTAATATATTTAAAATTCAATAAAAAATGAAAAAAAAACTAATTTACAGCGGCGCATCGGGCGGGTCTTAATCTAGTCTATATAATTCATCGAATCCAATGCATAAAATATTATAACAACACATAATTAATTATAACTCTAACAATTCATTATGTGTAACTCTAAAATTTATCACATCATCTTATAGTCTTATGTGGCACATCCCAAAACTCACTTTCATCCTATATTTTTACAAATTGGAGGTCACGGGTTCAAACCCTCGCAAAGATGAAAAAAATCATTTTAAACAAATTGATCTAACAAATCAATCCTTAAGTCAACTATGTATATTATCTTAAATTAAAAATATGAGAAAGATGCGAAAATTCAAATATAATAAAATATTTTATTTGTTTTACTGAAATTATTGCAATAAAAATAATACTTGAAATAAATATTTTAAATCTTAAAGTACTGCTTACATAGTTTACAAGTATAAGTCACTTTAAACTTATTTAGAATATAATATAGTATGCAACAATTTTTTACTGTGTCCATATTCTTTACTACAATATTTTTATATAATATTAAATAATATACTAATGACAAATAACAAAATACATAAAAAAGAGATAAGAGATTTCAAACAAAATAAAATACTTTTATCTTATTTTGGACAAAATGGTCTAACAAGTCAATAATTACTCCAACTATGTATATTCCCTTATATTAAGAATATTTCTCTCAAATTTAAAAAATAAAAGAGATGTTAGAATCCAAACACAATAAAATATTTTCTTTTTCTGAAAATATAGCAATAAAAATAACACTTGAAATAAATGTTTTTAATCTTAAATTAGTTCTTACACAAATTTCAAATATAAGTTACTTTATAGTTCTTACACAACTTTCAAAAATAAGTCACTTTAAGTTTGTCTTAAAAAATAATATAGTACGCAATAATTTTATAAAGTTCGACAAAATAAACATAGACTTTATAAAGTTATTGAAAGTTTGATTTGTTAATAATTGTAAATAAAATTTTAATTATATTTAACACTAAAAATATGAAAATATATTTAATAAATTAAAGTAAAACATCTTAATAAAAAATAAGTGCAAAAAAACACGAGAATCAAAACTAAACAAAAAAATCACTCTCTAGATATGTAAGTTGATAAACCTAAATTTTGTATATCACTCTCAATTTACACGCATGTATTTTATTTTTAAATAAAATGTATATTGGTGTATGTGATTAATATATATTATTGTCTCTTTTATAATTCACAAAAAAAAAGTTTTTAATATGAATTTAGTAATCGTATTTTGTCAAAACCAACTATTAATATATTTAAAATTCAATAACAAATGAAAAAAAACTAATTTACAGCTGCGCATCGCGCGGTTCTTAATCTAGTCTATATAATATATTAAATCCAATGCATCAAATATTATAACAACACATGATTAATTATAACTCTAACACGTCATCAAGTGTTTTTCTAAAATTTGTCACATCATCTTATAGTCTTACGTGGCACATCCCAAAACTCAGTTTAATCCTATACTTTTACAAATTGGAGGTCATGGGTTCGAACCCTCGCAAATATGAAGAAATTTTTTTAAACAAATTGATTTAACAAATCAATCATTAATTCAACTATGTATATTATCTTAAATTTAAAATATGAGAGAGGTGTGAAATTCAAATATAAAAAAATATTTTATTTGTTTTTATGAAATTATTGCAACAAAAGTAACACTTGAAATAAATATCTTATATCTTAAAGTACTGCTTATATAATTTACAAGTATAAGTCACTTTAAACTTATTTAGAACATAATATAGTATGCAACATTTTTTTACTGTGTCCATATTCTTTAATACTATATTTTTATACAATATCAAATGATATACTAATGACAAATAACAAAATACTGTAAATAAGAGATAAGAGAATTCAAACACAATAAAATGTTTTAATCTTATTTTGGTAAAAATGGTCTAACAAGTCAATAATTACTCCAAATATGTATAATCCCTCATATTGAGAATATTTCTCTCAAATTTAAAAAATAAAAGAGATGTCAAAATCCAAACACAATAAAATATTTTCTTTTTCTGAAATTATTACAATAAAAATAACACTTGAAGTTAAATGTTTTTAATCTTAAAGTAGTTCTTACACAACTTTCAAATATAAGTTACTTTATAATTCTTACACAACTTTCAAATATAAGTCACTTTAGGTTTATCTTAAAAAATAATATAGTACACAACAATTTTATAAAGTTCGGAAAAATAAACATAAAGTTTATAAAGTTATTGAAAATTTTATTTGTTAATATTTGTAAATAAAATTTTAATTTTATTTAACACTAAAAAAATGAACATATATTTAACAAATTACAGTAAAACATCTAAATGAAAAATAAGTGCAAAAAAACATGAGAATCAAAACAAAACAAAAAAATCTCTTTATAGATATGTAAGTTTACAAACCTAAATTTCGTATATTACTCTCAATTTACACACATGTATTTTATTTTTAAATAAAATGTATATTGGTGTATGTGATTAATTTATATTATTGTCTCTTTTATTTTTCACTAAAAAAAAGTTTATAATATGAATTTAGTAATCGTATTTTGTCAAAACCAACTACTAATATATTTAAAATTCAATAAAAAATGGGAAAAAAAACTAATTTACAGTTGCGCATCGGTCGGGTCTTAATCTAGTCTATATAATTCATTAAATCCAATGCATCAAATATTATAATAACACTTAATTAATTATAACTCTAACACATCATCAAGTGTAACTCTAAAATTTATCACATCATCTTATAGTCTTATGTGGCACATCCCAAAACTCACTTTCATCCTATACTTTTACAAATTGGAGGTCACGGGTTCAAACCCTCGCAAAGATGAAAAAAATCATTTTAAACAAATTGATCTAACAAATCAATCCTTAAGTCAACTATGTATATTATCTTAAATTAAAAATATGAGAAAGATGCGAAAATTCAAATATAATAAAATATTTTATTTGTTTTTCTTGAAATTATTGCAATAAAAATAATACTTGAAATAAATATTTTAAATCTTAAAGTACTGCTTACATAGTTTACAAGTATAAGTACCTTTAAACTTATTTAGAATATAATATAGTATGCAACAATTTTTTACTATGTCCATATTCTTTACTACCATATTTTTATATAATATCAAATAATATAATAATGAAAAATAACAAATATCATAAAAAAGAGATAAGAGATTTCAAACAAAATAAAATACTTTTATCTTATTTTCGACAAAATGGTCTAACAAGTCAATAATTACTCCAACTATGTATATTCCCTTATATTAAGAATATTTCTCTCAAATTTAAAAAATAAAAGAGATGTTAGAATCTAAACACAATAAAATATTTTCTTTTTCTGAAAATATAGCAATAAAAGTAACACTTGAAATAAATGTTTTTAATCTTAAATTAGTTCTTACACAACTTTCAAATATAAGTTACTTTATAGTTCTTACACAATTTTCAAATATAAGTCACTTTAAGTTTATCTTAAAAAATAATATAGTACGCAACAATTTTATAAAGTTCGACAAAATAAACATAAACTTTACAAAGTTATTAAAAGTTTGATTTGTTAATAATTGTAAATAAATTTTAATTATATTTAACACTAAAAATATGAACATATATTTAACAAATTAAAGTAAAACATCTTAATAAAAAATAAGTGCAAAAAAACATGAGAATCAAAACTAAACAAAAAAATTACTCTCTAGGTATGTAAGTTGATAAACCAAAATTCCGTATATCACTCTCAATTTACACGCATGTATTTTATTTTTAAATAAAATGTATATTGGTGTATGTGATTAATTTATATTATTGTCTCTTTTATAATTCACAAAAAAAAAAGCTTTTAATATGAATTTAGTAATCGTATTTTGTCAAAACCAACTATTAATATATTTAAAATTCAATAAAAAAATAAAAAAAACTAATTTACAGCCGCGCATCGCGCGGATCTTAATCTAGTCTATATAATATATTAAATCCAATGCATCAAATATTATAACAACACATGATTAATTATAACTCTAACATATCATCAAGTGTTACTCTAAAATTTGTCACATCATCTTATAGTCTTATGTGGCACATCCCAAAACTCAGTTTCATCCTATACTTTTACAAATTGGAGGTCACGGGTTTGAACCCTCGCAAATATGAAGAGAAAAAAAAGTTAAAACAAATTGATCTAACAAATCAATCATTAATTCAACTATGTATATTATCTTAAATTTAAAATATGAGAGAGGTGTGAAATCACTACGCCAAATAAGCTATTTAATAGCGCTTTTTTTTGTTTTTGATAGCGCTTAAAAGTGCTATTAACCGCGCCACTATTGTAAATATTTCTTATTTAATAGCACTTTAAAAGCGCTATTAAAGTACCAATTTATAATAGCGTTTTAATTAAAGTGCTATCAAAAGCCATACAATTTTTCAAAATCCATTTGTGTGGGGCGATTTTGGCGTGGTAATATGTCCCTAGAACATACCCCAAAACCTCCAAGAAAACAGAAAACAAACAGGTGGGAACCAAACAAAACTAATACATTAAATAAATTATAAACAAAAACAATGAAAATTTCTTTTATAAAGGAACCCCAATTGAGTCCATAACAAACAAATTCAAATTCAAAAGAAGAAAACACCACATTACTATTGAAGATATTAATAAGTAATAATAACTGTAAATAAAATTTCCCAAACCCCATACATGAAACAAAAATAATTTACAACCCAAATGAACAAAATAACCCTATATAAAAGAATATAAGTAACCCACCCAATAACTTTCACAACAGTGTTATAATCCTTATAATGAATACAAAACAACACCCTTAGTATTCTTCTTCACCTTGGTATCATCATTCTCTTTGTTAATGAAGAATTCGAACTTTTTTCTTTGAAGCCGTTTTTACTCAGAGATGGGTATGGTCTTGGACCTGTAAAGAAGCTTCTTTTTCTTTGATGTTTGGTTATCAATGGTGAGTACAACTTTTCCAGGTTCACCGATTTTGAAGGTGTTGTTGATTACTGTTTCATCAGCTGGCGAGATTTTCCTGTTTTTCTGTACTACCACTGTGTATCCATCTTCAGCACTAGGCACAAATTCTGCTCCATAGCTCACATTCCAGTCCACCACTCTGATTTCCCATACCAAGGTGCTTTTCTGCTCATTCAATTATTCAGATTCAGTTAAGATACTAATACTAAATATGCACATAAGATCATGGTTTTAAATTTCAGTTCACAACAGTAATTGCGGTATAAAGGGTCACATCATATACGTAACCACAATTTAAAACCAAAACCAAAACCATGATAAGATTGGTTTTGGTTATGAAACAAGTTTTTATTCTCACCTCAGAAATTGGGAACTCAACAGCATGTTTTGTTGCTGGTTTGATAATAACCTCTGTAGCAGGGTCAGCAGTGGTGAATTCCTGTTCACCCTCTCTGCTAAGTCCTCCATATTGAACTGGCACTTGCTGAGGAGCTATATATCTGTTCCAGTCAAATATTTATCAATAAGAGCTTACTAAATAACAATATCAATAATGATATATTAACAAGGTATGTTCCCAAAGGATCCAAAACTTATCCGCAACTACAACTGCGGCAGTTATATCAAGTTTCCATGTCTCTGCAACAGCAAGTGCAACTGCAGCCGCATCTTCTAAGATTTTAATAAAAGTCTAGGACGGGAATCTGAACTACAAAGTCGAGGCTTTCTATCTCTCTGCAACTATAACGCAACTACAATTGAGCCTGCACCAACTGTATTTGATCAAACTCTTGCAGTACCAAGGCATGAAACATGACTTAACTCCTCGGAATGAGTGGTATTTGACATCAATTTTTCACAATACCAACAATAGCAACACAAAACTACTTTATAGGCAATTTAAAACCTTGTTGGTTGGAATAAGTGGTGTTTGACATAGTAGTTTTCACAATATCAAGCATGGAAGCACAAAACTACTTCATAGCCAATTTATAACCTCATATAGGTTGGTGATAATAAGATCAATATGTAAGCTTTAAATAACTTCCTTCTTACGGGCTAAAAAACATGACTTGTATTTACGATGAAGAGCTAAAAAAGGAGAAGGAAGGACTTAGATGTGAAGGGAAATCTCAGATCAGATCTGGCATAATAACATTCATTTTGCTGTTTGATTGAACTCCTTTTTCCCACTCATCTAAGTATATAGACATGGATGCATAAGTCATATGCCTGGATAAAACATCATTTTCCTTATTTTCATTTCCTGGTTTATACCAAATTCAAAGTCCATTCTCATCAATTTAGATATTCATTTGAATTAATCTTCACCCCTGACTCTTTTATCTGTCAAAAACCGCAAACTCTTTTGATCGCCGAGGGTAATAAGATAGCTCCAAAATAAATAGTTCCTTTTGTAACCATAACAATGGTTATAATAATGTGTGGCTAAGAAAAGCAACTAAATGGCCTTGTTGCAACAAAACTGCTCACAATCATGTATAGAAGGCATTTGCCATAGGCCATGATTCTAGTGGATGGTAGTATTTTTCCTTTCACTGTCAAAAGAGTTGTAACATTCCAGATTAAACCTATTCGATGTTCAGCTTATTTGTCTCGTTGAAACTGTTTTCTTTCTTTCTGGTTGAACTAACTACAAGTTAAAGGGTGCTACGTACCGTTCTACCAAGGAAGTTCTAAACTCTAGCAATAAGTCTAAGCGGTTATCATCACAATTCACAAATTCTTTACCCCGTTGGTGCTACGTACCGTTCTACTAAGGAAGTTCTAAACTCTAGCAATAAGACTAAGCGATTGTCATCACAATTCACAAATTCTTTACCCTGTTGGTTTGTGGCCTAGGGTCAAAAGATGTTCTACCTAACAATTCTACTGTGTGCTAACAGCTAGATCTTCACCATATTTACAAATCCTTGGTGTACAATATCCCACTTCTAAAACACCTGGCAGTACCACCTCAATAAGTGATAATTGGAGGAGAATTACAACATATATCATCTTTGCTTCTTTTTTGATAAAGATGAAATGGAATTGCAGAAAAGATATATATGTATAATGACGAACCTTAAAGTCAAATAATCTGTCACCAAGTAGCGATGTTAAACAAATGAGAAGAACAAGAAACCCAAATCCAAGAGCTGATGAAAAAAACCAGTTCCTGGCGTTATTTTTGAAGAAATTTGAAAATTTATATTGTGGCTTAGCTGTGTACTTGAATAAAACCAGAGCTTCATTAAACTCAAGAACTTGGATGGTAACAAGTGATATGGCCTGCATCAATGAATGAAAATATCTTATCAAAATTAAAAAAACAGCATGAAAAAGGCTCCATTGCACACCTACCTGAGTTTGTGGGTGAAGAAGAGGCTGTTGTCCTGTGAGCAATGAAACAACGGATAAGCCTCCAAAACTGAGAGGAATATGAAGAGTGAAAAGATAGAGAGCAAGATTGGCCCATACATCCCCACTATCCCATGGACTATCTGATAAAAACTGTGTGTCTTGCTCTTTCTTTTTGCAATAGCATCTCTTCAAACTGTTGCGTTGGAAGGACAGTTGTGGTGAACAATTTGTGTTTCTTTGGTTGTAAAAGGGTTTCGCCGCCAACCTATCAAGTTCAGGGGAAAATTTAACATAAGCAGGAAACCACCCCGTAACCGACATCATCTTTATTCTTGCATTCTGTATTGAATTTTATGGTTTCTCTCTAGTTCTGTCCCAAAAAATAATAAAGAATGTCATTAGAGGATCTCTGATGATGTTATTTATCTTTAACATTTTTGTTATATCCATTCAACCAATTTATCTAATTTTATCAGTATAACTCTATTTAATTACAATATCTCGACTACTCTTTTCATCCCTTAGAATGTTCTCCTATTTTGTTTGAATATGCATCTTTAAACACATCTAAATCATATAAGTTTTTCGTAATTCAATCACTTAATTCATTTTTATCAAAAACAAATTTGCAATCTTATGTAGGTGTATCAAGAAATACCTCTTTGTGACACTTCCTATGCTCTCTAAGTAATATCAGTGATGCACAAGGGAAAGGCTGCATATGAGCACAATAGCATAGACAGCACAATCCATGAAGACAGCATCAGCCACAGTCTTCAGCACCATTCCAATTTCCAATGTTTTTGCAAGCTGTGCATATTGATCAGAAGAATCAGCGCTGGCGCTGGCACTGGCGTTGTTCCGTCTCCTCCTCAACCTTTCATCAGAGCCTCTTTGTTTCCCAGAAATAATTTTCGCAACAACAAAAGACGAATTTGTGAGGAGAACCAAGTAAAGTGGTCTAAAGCTTATAATAGTCTTAATCAAAGAGAATCCTAGACAAGAGGCAACAACCAATAAGGCAACTATAATCGAACAACAAAGATGCGTAAACCTTGAGGCATCAACGGCATTCGTCACATCCCTAGGGCTTATGAAATCGAAACTTCTAGGTTCTTCGAGCTAGGAAATTTCATCAGATGAATCTTGATGTGTTGGTGGTGGTTGAGGTTGAAATAGAGGTTGTGATTCTTGTACATGTTCAGGTTCAATTTCAGAATTGGGGAAACTTAAAATCTCACTTTCACTGTGTTGTTTTTCAGGCAAAATTTCGGCATCAACGTGATTCTGCAAAACGGAATTCGGATACTCCTGCTCCTCGTCGTTGGCGTGAGGCAGATATGAAGAAAAGCAGTTGTAAAAACAACATTGAATTCTAGGGTTTGTAGATGGATGATTACAGAAGCAATAAGAAGAGAGAAAATTGAAATGAAAGAGAAGAGAAGAGGTAGTTACCGGGAGGAGGGAGGGTTTGGATCCGACCCTGGATGAAGGCAAGACGGTCGGATCCTTGTTGGAGGATTCTTCTTCTTCTCCGGGCGTCTCTCAGGTTGTTTGCTTCTGTCATTTTTTTCCCCTTCCTCTTTACTTCAGCTCAGGCTTTGTATTGCCAACTGACTCAAATCCTTGAAATTTTTGTTTCTTTATGGTTTTGAGTTAACTCAATGCTGCTGCTAAAGAAATGTTAACTTTGATCTTAGTTCATTCATTTTTTATATAAATATAGTTTAAGGTTTTTTTAATATTATATATATGACATAGCGCTTTTTAATAAATGCTATTATATAGGTAGTCAAATAATAGCGTTTTATACAAAATGATATCTTAAAGAAGTTTAATAATAGCGTTCTGGTACAAAGTGCTATCAAAATTACATAGTCTGTATTATATAATAGCGCCCGATTAAAAAGTGCTATTATAAATGTGTTTTTTCCATTTTAATAGCATTTTTTTTAAAAGTGCTATTAAATTAGGTGATACAAAAAATCATTTTTGGCGTAGTGAATTCAAATATAAAAAAATATTTTATTTGTTTTTATGAAATTATTGCAACAAAAGTAACACTTGAAATAAATATCTTATATCTTAAAGTACTGCTTATATAATTTACAAGTATAAGTCACTTTAAACTTATTTAGAACATAATATAGTATGCAACATTTTTTTACTGTGTCCATATTCTTTAATACTATATTTTTATACAATATCAAATGATATACTAATGACAAATAACAAAATACTGTAAATAAGAGATAAGAGAATTCAAACACAATAAAATGTTTTAATCTTATTTTGGTAAAAATGGTCTAACAAGTCAATAATTACTCCAAATATGTATAATCCCTTATATTGAGAATATTTCTGTCAAATTTAAAAAATAAAAGAGATGTCAAAATCCAAACACAATAAAATATATTCTTTTTCTGAAATTATTACAATAAAAATAACACTTGAAGTTAAATGTTTTTAATCTTAAAGTAGTTCTTACACAACTTTCAAATATAAGTTACTTTATAATTCTTACACAACTTTCAAATATAAGTCACTTTAGGTTTATCTTAAAAAATAATATAGTACACAACAATTTTATAAAGTTCGGAAAAATAAACATAAAGTTTATAAAGTTATTGAAAATTTTATTTGTTAATATTTGTAAATAAAATTTTAATTTTATTTAACACTAAAAAAATGAACATATATTTAACAAATTACAGTAAAACATCTAAATGAAAAATAAGTGCAAAAAAACATGAGAATCAAAACAAAACAAAAAAATCTCTTTATAGATATGTAAGTTTACAAACCTAAATTTCGTATATTACTCTCAATTTACACACATGTATTTTATTTTTAAATAAAATGTATATTGGTGTATGTGATTAATTTATATTATTGTCTCTTTTATTTTTCACTAAAAAAAAGTTTATAATATGAATTTAGTAATCGTATTTTGTCAAAACCAACTACTAATATATTTAAAATTCAATAAAAAATGGGAAAAAAAACTAATTTACAGTTGCGTATCGGTCGGGTCTTAATCTAGTTTATATAATTCATTAAATCCAATGCATCAAATATTATAATAACACTTAATTAATTATAACTCTAACACATCATCAAGTGTAACTCTAAAATTTATCACATCATCTTATAGTCTTATGTGGCACATCCCAAAACTCACTTTCATCCTATACTTTTACAAATTGGAGGTCACGGGTTCAAACCCTCGCAAAGATGAAAAAAATCATTTTAAACAAATTGATCTAACAAATCAATCCTTAAGTCAACTATGTATATTATCTTAAATTAAAAATATGAGAAAGATGCGAAAATTCAAATATAATAAAATATTTTATTTGTTTTACTGAAATTATTGCAATAAAAATAATACTTGAAATAAATATTTTAAATCTTAAAGTACTGCTTACATAGTTTACAAGTATAAGTACCTTTAAACTTATTTAGAATATAATATAGTATGCAACAATTTTTTACTGTGTCCATATTCTTTACTACTATATTTTTATATAATATCAAATAATATACTAATGAAAAATAACAAATATCATAAAAAAGAGATAAGAGATTTCAAACAAAAATAAAATACTTTTATCTTATTTTGGACAAAATGGTCTAACAAGTCAATAATTACTCCAACTATGTATATTCCCTTATATTAAGAATATTTCTCTCAAATTTAAAAAATAAAAGAGATGTTAGAATCCAAACACAATAAAATATTTTCTTTTTCTGAAAATATAGCAATAAAAGTAACACTTGAAATAAATGTTTTTAATCTTAAATTAGTTCTTACACAACTTTCAAATATAAGTTACTTTATAGTTCTTACACAATTTTCAAATATAAGTCACTTTAAGTTTATCTTAAAAAATAATATAGTACGCAACAATTTTATAAAGTTCGACAAAATAAACATAAACTTTACAAAGTTATTGAAAGTTTGATTTGTTAATAATTGTAAATAAATTTTAATTATATTTAACACTAAAAATATGAACATATATTTAACAAATTAAAGTAAAACATCTTAATAAAAAATAAGTGCAAAAAAACATGAGAATCAAAACTAAACAAAAAAATTACTCTCTAGGTATGTAAGTTGATAAACCAAAATTCCGTATATCACTCTCAATTTACACGCATGTATTTTATTTTTAAATAAAATGTATATTGGTGTATGTGATTAATTTATATTATTGTCTCTTTTATAATTCACAAAAAAAAGCTTTTAATATGAATTTAGTAATCGTATTTTGTTAAAACCAACTATTAATATATTTAAAATTCAATAAAAAAATAAAAAAAACTAATTTACAGCCGCGCATCGCGCGGATCTTAATATAGTCTATATAATATATTAAATCCAATGCATCAAATATTATAACAACACATGATTAATTATAACTCTAACATATCATCAAGTGTTACTCTAAAATTTGTCACATCATCTTATAGTCTTATGTGGCACATCCCAAAACTCAGTTTCATCCTATACTTTTACAAATTGGAGGTCACGGGTTTGAACCCTCGCAAATATGAAGAGAAAAAAAAGTTAAAACAAATTGATCTAACAAATCAATCATTAATTCAACTATGTATATTATCTTAAATTTAAAATATGAGAGAGGTGTGAAATTCAAATATAAAAAAATATTTTATTTGTTTTTATGAAATTATTGCAACAAAAGTAACACTTGAAATAAATATCTTATATCTTAAAGTACTGCTTATATAATTTACAAGTATAAGTCACTTTAAACTTATTTAGAACATAATATAGTATGCAACATTTTTTTACTGTGTCCATATTCTTTAATACTATATTTTTATACAATGTCAAATGATATACTAATGACAAATAACAAAATACTGTAAATAAGAGATAAGAGAATTCAAACACAATAAAATGTTTTAATCTTATTTTGGTAAAAATGGTCTAACAAGTCAATAATTACTCCAAATATGTATAATCCCTTATATTGAGAATATTTCTGTCAAATTTAAAAAATAAAAGAGATGTCAAAATCCAAACACAATAAAATATTTTCTTTTTCTGAAATTATTACAATAAAAATAACACTTGAAGTTAAATGTTTTTAATCTTAAAGTAGTTCTTACACAACTTTCAAATATAAGTTACTTTATAATTCTTACACAACTTTCAAATATAAGTCACTTTAGGTTTATCTTAAAAAATAATATAGTACACAACAATTTTATAAAGTTCGGAAAAATAAACATAAAGTTTATAAAGTTATTGAAAATTTTATTTGTTAATATTTGTAAATAAAATTTTAATTTTATTTAACACTAAAAAAATGAACATATATTTAACAAATTACAGTAAAACATCTAAATGAAAAATAAGTGCAAAAAAACATGAGAATCAAAACAAAACAAAAAAATCTCTTTATAGATATGTAAGTTTACAAACCTAAATTTCGTATATTACTCTCAATTTACACACATGTATTTTATTTTTAAATAAAATGTATATTGGTGTATGTGATTAATTTATATTATTGTCTCTTTTATTTTTCACTAAAAAAAAGTTTATAATATGAATTTAGTAATCGTATTTTGTCAAAACCAACTACTAATATATTTAAAATTCAATAAAAAATGGGAAAAAAAACCAATTTACAGTTGCGCATCGGTCGGGTCTTAATCTAGTCTATATAATTCATTAAATCCAATGCATCAAATATTATAATAACACTTAATTAATTATAACTCTAACACATCATCAAGTGTAACTCTAAAATTTATCACATCATCTTATAGTCTTATGTGGCACATCCCAAAACTCACTTTCATCCTATACTTTTACAAATTGGAGGTCACGGGTTCAAACCCTCGCAAAGATGAAAAAAATCATTTTAAACAAATTGATCTAACAAATCAATCCTTAAGTCAACTATGTATATTATCTTAAATTAAAAATATGAGAAAGATGCGAAAATTCAAATATAATAAAATATTTTATTTGTTTTACTGAAATTATTGCAATAAAAATAATACTTGAAATAAATATTTTAAATCTTAAAGTACTGCTTACATAGTTTACAAGTATAAGTACCTTTAAACTTATTTAGAATATAATATAGTATGCAACAATTTTTTACTGTGTCCATATTCTTTACTACTATATTTTTATATAATATCAAATAATATACTAATGAAAAATAACAAATATCATAAAAAAGAGATAAGAGATTTCAAACAAAAATAAAATACTTTTATCTTATTTTGGACAAAATGGTCTAACAAGTCAATAATTACTCCAACTATGTATATTCCCTTATATTAAGAATATTTCTCTCAAATTTAAAAAATAAAAGAGATGTTAGAATCCAAACACAATAAAATATTTTCTTTTTCTGAAAATATAGCAATAAAAGTAACACTTGAAATAAATGTTTTTAATCTTAAATTAGTTCTTACACAACTTTCAAATATAAGTTACTTTATAGTTCTTACACAATTTTCAAATATAAGTCACTTTAAGTTTATCTTAAAAAATAATATAGTACGCAACAATTTTAT